GAGGCGGTCCTGCTTTGTGCTGAAGGCCAACATACCCTATGAGCGGTCCGGGGAGGCTTCAGGCCCACGAGGCGGACCAGTCATGCCGAAGGCTCGGGATAGATTCAGATAGACTGTAGGCCCAGTAGGGCGGTCCAGTCAGGACGATGGCCCAGTATGCATTTGATTGATTGATTGGTTGACTGATTGTTACTGACATGGTATTGTCAGTGTAGTATTGTTATTTTGGGGGTAGCTCACTAAGCCCTCGGGCTTACAGTTTTCAGTTTATTGTTTCAGGTACTTCAGGAGATCGTGGCAAGGCGAAGGCGTGACCGTACCGCTCCTCATCCTTATGTTATGATCTGTTTATGGGACACTCTGATGGATATTGATTTGAAAACATTTTTGTAAACAATACTATTTGACTTTCATTTATGGGAAGAAGTTTAAATTTTGCGTAAATTTTTTGGATGTTACACTTCGCGTTCTTCATGTTCTTCGTGTGTTCTTGATGAAAACTAGAGATTTTATGAGTTTTCGGCCCAATACTAGAAGATTGAAAGGTGTTTTTCTAATGGAAACAAGATCAAGGAATGATACTTGCAAGATTCTATGAAGAAACAAGTGATTTTCGTGTGTTTTTAAGAGGAGAGGGGAGGCTTCGCATGTTATTGAGGAGAGAGGAGGGAGTTTTCGGTTGAAGTTAAGAGAAAATATTGAGATTTCGGTTGATATATGAAGAAATGAGCTTTATTTTCAGTTGTAAGTATATGTAAGGAAGAATAAAGCAAGTCGGCTTAAGGGTTCTCGGCCGAGAACAAATATCGAGGCTTCGGTTTTCAGCTGTGAACTCAAACCGAGGAGCGGAGAACCCTTCCCGAGAAGATAAGGCTTCTAGAAGGAGTCTCGCACGTTTGCGGTCCAAACGGTTTGCAGCCGAAAGCCGTTTGTGGTGCGAGTGCGAGGTTGGTATTTCCTTTATGCGAGGGGTTTGCGGTATGCGAAGGTTTTCGTTTGGAAACCGTTTTCGGTCCGAAGCTTTAATCTATCCGAGGGTTTTCGGTTAAGGCGAGAATCCTTGGTTCTTTGGGGTGTTTCAACTTCAAATTCTACAACACTTCTACCAAGTGTTAAAATGTATCAAATATATTAATTTTAATTTTATTAAATTAACAAATCAATAGGTTTGAATTTAATTTGATATGTTTGACTTTTGTTGACTTTTGCAAAGTAGAAAATAACGGGTTGTTACACCTAAACTCAGTAAAACCCTAACCCTAGCCTCTCATTGTGTTTCTTGAGCTTTTGGTGGAATTTTGGAGGTTTAAAGAAGAAGAGATCACCATGGAAGCATATTTGCAGCTTGGAAGCTTCATTTGCAACTTTTAGCTACACTTCTAGACCAATGTGAGTAATCAAGATCCAAGCTTTATGTTTTTCTTGTTGCTAGATCTAAGGTTTTATGCATATTTATCCAAGATCTTAAGAGTTGGAGTGTTGGGACTCCATAAATTTTGCAACTTTATAGGTCCTTAGGGTCCCTAGATGCTTATATGTCATGGATCTGAAGTTTGAACGGTGTTGGAGTTCATGCATGATAAATTATCCTCCTTTTCTCCATGAATGACCTAGTTTGAGCTCATGTCTTGTATTGGACATACAATATCTTAAAGCATCGATTTTTATGACCATAGGAGTGTTAGGAAGCCTCCTGGAAAGGATGGATTAGTGGCTTAACAGATTAAGAGGTTTTTGGACCAAAATGACGTAGAGACTGATCTCACGATGCGAGGAAGATGCATGCACGACGTGAGGGTTGCAAGACTCGATTATCTTGTCCTCTTGTGGCTCACGATGTGGGGCATAGATGGTCACGTCGTGAGGGCTTGCTGACCGTTGACCGTTGACTTTTGGTCAAGTTTGACTGTGGGTCAAACTTGAAGATTTTGGGTTATTGGTTGAGATTCTATCTGGTTCTGATGTTAGTGGATCCGCGGGAGCAATCAGTGTAGCAGGGAACAGATCGTGGTATTCTCGGGTTTCTTTATTTCAAGTGAGTTTCGTCTCATTGTACCGTTGGTCGAAGGCACCAATGTCGGCCCACCAGTTTTCGGTTATTTGTTGGTAGAGGGATGTCTTAGGGACTGTATATAGTCACGTAGGATAGACTGAGGACTCTTGATCTAGGCCCTCTTACATGTTCCTTGTTTGGTTGTGGTTCTAGGGTGGGATCACCTATCCGGGTGGCTATGTCACCTCTAATTATATGCAGTCAGTCATTTCTTAGTTTGTTGCCACTTAGTATGTTGCTATGTTGTAGTGATCTGTTAGATCTGTATTCTGGTACTGAGTATATTGTTATGATGTAGCGATCCATTAGATCCCTATCTTGGTATATAAGATGTTGATATGCTATAGTGCACTGTTGGATCGGTATGTTACCTGTACTTACTGGTTATCATCTGGTAGAGTGCCTTAGGGACTGTCTGTGGTTATGTAGGATAGTCTGATAACTCTTGGTTTATGCTCTCTTGCATGTTCCTTGTTTGGTTGTGACTCTAGAGTAAGATCATCTGTTCGGGTGGCTATTTCACCTCTGGCTACTTATGGTTACGCATTTCATGTAAAATTTTAAATGTTTTGTTTGAATACATTTTATAAGGTTTTTTTGACGTTTTTTGTTTATATTTTATTGATTTTATGGCTTCTGTAATTTTAAAAACGACTAAAATGTCTAAACAACCAAAACAAGATTTTAATATTCTTTTCTTCTAGGGACTTGAACCCTCGTTTTCTCCGTGAAAGAGAGAGGTCGTAACCACTGGACCATAGGGGCACCAATGGACCATAGGGGCCCAAAAAATATTTTGTCAACGTCGTACTTCTGGCAATTATTTATTATTTATTTGTTTATTTATCTTTATTTTTTTATTTTAAAATTTTTTATACAAAATTTTGTTCGTTTATCTGAAACCGAGTTTTGAATACCGGATTATCTAAATTCGTAACCTTTTTACAACTTAGAAATTTTTTTAAAGCTTTTACGACTTTGGAATATTTATAACTTTTGGATGTTTTGTTCCTTTTGTAAAAAATAATACAAAAATTATATTTAACATGAAAAAAATGCAAAGTACAAAGCTTGAACGTTATACAAAATTTAAAATAAACTTGAAAAAAAAAGAAAAAAAATATAAATAATATCTTCTTGTTGAATCGACGAAAAAATAAAAGATATTATAACTAATTTGGAAAACTATGTAATATAAGTATTAAGTAATTAAAAATAATAAAAAAAAAGTATATATTAATTTGGTTTGACTAATTTAGTTTGGTGTACAGGTGGTGGAGAAATCACCACCTTCTGTAACGAGACTAAATTACCACAACCTCTACTATTGAAAAAAAATACCCCATCAAACTGAGGAATCCATTCGAACCAAAAATTCAAACAAGAAATCAAAACCATAAATTTAAATCAAAAAGTAAAACCAGAATCAATCTATTAAAACAAAAAACTCAATCCATTCAAACCAGAAATCAATAGAGTCGCAAGTGTTGGAGATGAACATACACATAACAATCTAAAAATCATTCACCCCATTGCCCTTACATTCACCCTCGACCCTTACCCACTTTGTGGCTACTTCACCTCTGAAAAACTACCACCATCTCATTCGTCTTCTCCGACATGTCCTGCCCCCTAAAAAAACTAGATACAATTGTTGTCACAAAAAATCAAGATACACCTTGTTAAAAAAATCCAAATGCAATTCATAAACAAGGATTAAAATTGACCAGCGTTTTATTCATAACTTTGGACAAGGAACCTTTCTAAAGCATATGGGTAGAGAGTATGGTTCCAAATTAAGATAACGTCCCGATGCTAGCGATGCTTCAGCCGCCAAAACCCTAGCTGACGCTCATTTTCTTCTTGTCGGTCACCACCTAATTTTAACTTTGTACATTTTTTCGGCAACTAGACCTTAGCGTCTGTGCACTTTTCTGACGAGAGGGTTGCATATTTGGACGTAAAATGGGTCGTCGAAGGTTGTTGATGGCAGAAAAAGGAAAGAGATGATGTCTAGAGAGTTTTCGACGAGTATAAAGAGAGAAACAACAAAGAAAAGAAGAAATGACATCATACTCTCACCGATGATATAATAAAAAATAAAGATATAAGGTTTGATGGTTATAATATAACTTTCAAGGGTCATATATATATATATATATATATATATATATATATATATATATATATATATATATACTTTGATAAATTAATTAAAAAAAAAGAAAAAAAAACAATATAGTCTTTTTAGGTCTAGACCGAATACCTAACAAAATACATTTTAGAATTTCAATAATTTTGAAGGTTAAAAACATACTAAAAACCAGGTGTTACAAAATGGTCTCATACTCTCAACGACGATGTAGTAAAAAATTAAAGATATAAGGTTTGGTGGTTAAAGTTATAATATAACTTTAAAGGGTTGTATATTTTTCCTTTTTTGATAAATAAACAATAAACAATAAATTAATTAACAAAACAATATAATCTTTTTAGTCTAGTAACGACCAAAGACCTAACAAAATATTTTCTAAGGAACTTCCCCATTTAAATAAATGAAAAAAATTAAACACCATAACATGCAAATTGCCCAAGTCACAGGGACCATTTGTGTAAAAAAAGAAAAGAAAATGCTTATGTCACCCAACACGAGACTTATCATATTCGTCAAACACACCGACCCACAATTTGATCACATCCATAACCAATGATATTTACTAGATATATCTTCTGCAGTTGCCACTTCATTTGGTATGCATCCACGTGTCCCCTCCATGCTACGTGTCAAGCAGCTATAGCTTACATCATCAGTAAGTTTCTATCGCTTAGCCAGGCCTTCCTATAAATACATTCACGTTCTACTCACGAACCACAAATTTCATCACCCAGCAATCATTTTATCCAACTTACATTAAAATTTCGTTTGCATTTTACAGCAGATAATCCAATGGCATCACATCAAGAAGTTAGGAGCAAGGAACAGAAGGCGGAGACCGCTGCAAGGGCTGCCGCCGACGAGCTAAGGGACGTCAATCGTCAGAGACAGGTTGGTGGCGGCGGCGGCGATGCTGTAGTGGTTGAACGCCGTGAACAGATACAAGCTGATGAAGGTCGACCTGGTATTGTTAGCAGTATAATTCAAACCGTCACCGATACCTTAGGCCAGGCTAGGGATGCTGTCACCGGGAAAACCCATGACGCGACGGAGAAGGCATCGGAGATTAGTGGAGGGGCTGCTGAGAGAGGGAGGAGGACTGGCGAGGAAACAAAAGAGAAGGCTGGAGAATACAAAGACTATGCAGCACAGAGAACAAAGGAATCTGCAAATGCTACAACAGAGAAGGCAAAAAAAGGAAAGGATGCAACAATGGAGAAGGGAAGACAGGCCGCTGAGAAGACGGGAGAGTACAAAAACTATGCGGCAGAGAAGACGAGGGAAGCCAAGGATACAACGGTGGACAAGGCCGGAGAGTATAAGGACTATGCAGCGCAGAAAGCTAAGGAAGCTGCGGATGCTACAGCAGAGAAGGCGAAAGAAGGTAAGGATGTAACAATGGAGAAGGCCGGAGAATACAAGGATTATGCGGCGGAGAAGGGAAGACAAGTCGCCGATAAGGGAGGAGAATACAAAGACTACGCAGCACAGAAGACGAGGGAAGCTATGGATACAACAATGGACAAAGCTGGAGAGTATAAGGACTATGCAGCGCAGAAGGCAAAGGAAGCCAAAGACACGACAATGGAGAAGACAGGAGAGTACAAGGATTACGCAGCGCAGAAGGGGAGGGAAGCGTCTAACAAGGGCGTAGAATACAAAGACTACACTGCACAGAAAACGAAGGAGACGGCGGACGTCACGGCGGAGAAGGCAAAAGAAGCTAAAGATACGACTATGGAGAAACTAGGAGAGTACAAGGACTATACTGCACAGAAAACAAAGGAGGCTGCCGATTACACTGCAGATAAAGCTATAGCCGCTAAAGATTACACATTGGACAAGGCGGTGGCAGCGAAGGATTACACAGTCGATAAGGCGGTTGCTGCCAAAGATTACGCCGCGGAGAAGGCAAAAGCAGCCAAGGATACGACGGTGGATAAAATGGGGGAGTATAAAGATTATGCTGCTCAAAAAGCAGCTGAAGCCAAGGATTACACCGTCGATACGGCGGTGGCCACTAAGGATTACACCGTGGACAGGGCGGCGGCCACCAAAGATTACACCCTCGACAAGGCGGCTGCCACCCGAGACTACACGGCGGAGAAGGCGAAAGCAGCCAAGGATGCGACGGTGGATAAAGTGGGGGAGTACAAAGATTATGCTGCTCAAAAAGCTGCTGAAGCCAAGGATTACACCGTCGATACGGCGGCTGCCACCAAGGATTACACCGTCGACAAGGCGGCGGCAACCAAGGACTACACCGTCAACAAGGCGGCGGCTACTCGAGACTACACGGCGGAGAAGGCAACAGAAGGGAAGAATGTAACTGTGGGGAAGGCGACGGAGTTGAAAGACGCCGCCGCTGATGCTGCCAGGAAAGCCATGGATTTATTGACCGGAAAGAGAGAGGAGACCAAGGAGAAGTTTTCTGAAACCGGTCACGCCACAAAGGTCAGTCGGATGTGATAAAATCAAATCATTTTTTCGTTTTTTTTCTTATGTATTAAACACGTATTAAACTGAATTGATTATAAACACGTATTAAACTGAATTGATAATGTATTATATAATACTAAACATTATTAAAATGAAGCCCGTGGAGAAGTGATATTTATGATTTATTTGGGTAGTAGGAAATGTTTGATGATCAAACTAAGGAGGATGCAAGGAAGCGAATGGAGTCGATGAACCTGAAAGAGCATGGTGGAGATGATACGGTGGAGGTGATGGAGGTGGAAGTGGAGGATATCTCGCCGTTGGGAACAGGGTTGCTGGCAGCGATGGACGTGGAGGACACCCCATTGGGTACGAGGGGGGGAGGTACTCGCGCAAGTCCGGTGACGGATGCAAGGAGATGAGCCACGGCGGCGATAGGTTTAGAGGTCGCGCGAATATAGGTTTAGAGGTCGTGGACTGTGAATTTGCATGAACTGATGTGTTGATTTTGCGTTTTGTAGTTAATGGTTGTCTATGAAAGAAGTTATATAAATTAAGTATTGTGTGGGATAACTATTTGTATTATTATCGAAAGCCAAATTTTGATTTTGATCTTGATCCGGTTATAGCATTAAGTTTAAGTTTTGTTATTTTGATTTAGCAATTACAAATTGGGTCGAGGTAAAAACGTAAGATAAATCAATTACTTTCTGCAACTGTCCTACTTAAGTGAAACTTTTGTCAACAATTATTCAAGTATTATGATATCGATACACATAACTATTGTATTTTGGTCCATATTTGATTTTAGTTGTATTTTATTTTGATCAATAAAAAGGATCTATTTATTTCTTTCTCTATTTCTCTAAAGATACTATTGAATCTTATTTTTGGGTTAAAAGGTGACGTGATTTCTTGTTACTCTATACTATCATATATATGTAATTTCTGAAACGTGTGATTTTCTAAAGTAACTTTTTATTTAGAGTAAAATAACTTCTTATTTATCATATGTTAGGTGTGTTAACTATTTAAATCAATAAACTAAAAATTATTTTAAAAAATAAAGATGTTTTATGAAATTTTTATCTTTATTTATTTTATTAATTAATAAAAGACTTAAAATGTTAAGTATTTTATTAATTAATAAAAGACTTCTAAAAATGTAAGTGTCCTTGCACCGTCTCCTGCAACATACTCTATTTTTCCCACCCATTAACTATCCTCAACATTCACTTCCTAAATATAAATGGTTGTCATTATTTAAATTAATATTCCGAAATCATTATCTTATATCCTAAATTATTTGTACTCAAAACCATAAAACCAACTGTTATTTAATTAATATTCCAAAATCAATTAATCTGTATTTCTCGATTTGTAAGATGCTTTATATACACCAATCCATTCGAATCTCCATAATTAAAAAAAAAACAAACTCATAAGCTACAAATTTCCCTTTTTTGCTGTAGTTTTAAGGGATTTTGATCAGGTTCGTATCATAATGTTTTTATTGAAAGTAGTTTCTGACCAGGTCTTTTTTTTTTATTATCACCATTGAGGTCATGACTTAGATCATGGTCGTTAGTCTTGATTTTTTAATGTAGTGTTTGTTTGATAATGTCTGACATGTGTCTAATGAATGTTCTAAGAGGATCAGGATGTTATAGAAAAAGGATAAAGGCATAAACTTACATCATTTTGGTCTTATTTTTGGTTTGGGTTTTAAGGATTATGTTTTCAATTTTCTATAATTGAGGATCAATCTTTGGGTTATATGTCTCAGTATCAGATGATGTCAACCCATCATCATCATGTGGTATAAATTTCCTTTATAATGTCATCTAAAAGGGTTATATTGAGTTCATGTTTGATAAAATGTAGCAAAAATTATGGGTCGTCATTGCAGATGGAATGGTAGGTAGGTATGTTTTTTTCCTAGATTTGATCACACAAGTGTGTTTGCAAATCAACTCCCATATAATCACATTGTCTCATGATTATCTTGAAACATGTGAAGTACATGGGAGGGAAGACCCACCGTCTAGCTTCCCGTTAAAAATTGGTTCGATATTAAATCTTTGTATTTAGGAGGAATCAATTGAGTGTGTGAGTGTGGATGTGATTGAAATGAAGCTTTTTTTTCTTTCTATTTTTTCCAATTACAACAACATACTTTACAAGTATTTTTGCCAAAATAAGTGCTACTGATATGTTACACGGTTGTTGATAATCATATGCAAAAATATCATCACATCACAGAAAGAAGAAAAATGTTCGAAAGTTCCATCACTATAAAATTTAACCTAATTACTCAACAGGTTTGACCGGTGCATGTACGATGCTTCTACACCAATGTAAGTATCATCCTACTTTATGTTCTTATTGCAACACAGTCTCCCGAAAAAAAAATACATCTACTAGTGTAGCAATGACATCAATTTTCATGTACCTCACGAAATTATTGATGTCTAAAAATAAAGACATCAAATTTTGGTGAGGATCAAAGACATACCAAATAAATAAAAGTAGGATGCTATAAAAATGAATCAATAAATGTATGGTTTTATTTCGGTATTTCCTGCTTTGTATATACCGAAAAAACATGTCTTTTCGGAGGCGGGAGGAATGACGTAAGCAATGACATAAGAAGCCATTATTAAAGAAGACACATTATTGAAGACATGTGGCCTTTCAATATGGAAAGGAATTGTAATTATTTGTCATTTGTCTTTTATAATTATTATTGTCAAAAAGTAGTGTCTAGGATGTAAGATAAAGTGTATAACCCTCAATAGTCTAGGGGGCTATATTGTAAATATGTATGTCGTATTGCAATCAAACGATTGCAACTCAATTATGTAACCGGCTCTCTTGAGCCTATAAATAAGGCCTTTGCCCATATGGAATAAACAAGCGAAGTTTGAGTGTTTAAGATTTGAGTTGATCTCAATCTTCTTCTGTACCTTCATTTATTTCTTTATTATAGCATCTTATTTCATTTAATCCTATAATATGATATTTTTTTTATTACTTTTTATTATAACAATAAAAATTATTTTGTAGATGAATTTTTATATTGTGTTAGATTTTATAATGCACAATCATGTAATTTGAAAAAATAAAATATTATTTTGTTAGATGATATTATTATACTATGTTAGATATTTTAAGAGAAATCATATAAAAATGTACAGGGGGTTTGATGTTTGTGTGTTGACTGTGTGTTGTACCACCCTTGAGAACTTACGTTTAATCTTATAATTTATATATGTGTTGTTTTTTGTTTTGGAAACAGACATAAACCGAGGGAGACTCAAAGTGTGATAAATATAAAGTATACAACATTAGAACGTATCAAAATTCAAGCCTAGAGCCAATAAACAAATGATTATTTTCGTTTCGACTTTTGAGTTGTCAACCTTCAACTCTGTCTATAACAATCATTAATTGAAACTAGGAAAAGGCCCGTGCGTTGCACGAGTGAAAGTTTAGTGACAAAAATATAAAAAAATAAAAATAAAGTGTCAAAATTATAAAGATAAAAAGTTTGTTGAAACTTTAGTGGCAAAATTAGTAAAAATAAAGTACCAAAACTATAAAGAGGAAAAGTTTGTTAAAACTTTAGTGGCAAAATTATAAAAAAGTAAAAATAAAGTGGTAAAATTATAAAAGAATAAAGAAAAAAGGTTTTAAAAAAGTAAAAGTGAATGTTTAGTAGCAAAAATATAAAAAAGTAAAAATAAAGGGGCAAAATTATAAAAAGGAAAAGTTTGTTGAAACTTTAGTAGCAAAATTAAAAAAAAGAAAAAATATAATGTTAAAATTAGAAACATGGAAAGTTTCCTGTTGAAACTTCCCATGTGATTTAATATATATATATATATATATATATATATATATATATATATATATATATATATATATATATATATATATATATATGACGTTATAGGGCCCTTTCATATTTAGGCAAAGACGATGGCATGTTGATGTTATGAGTTATGACTTATGTAGTTATTGCGGTCAAAATTTTAATAGCGGTCACATGCCGTTATTTGAGATCGCGGTTATCGCGGTGGTATAGCGGTGATATAACGGTTTTTTAATATTATGTATAATTTATAATTTTATATTATATTTATATAGAATTTATATATTTGAGTATTAATGCTATAGTCTATATAGAATTAATATCATCAAACCTAAAAAGTCATATAAAAACATAACATAATATTCTATTATAGTAATATGGAAACTAGGTAGTGTCAAAGTGTCAAATAGAGTTTAATTGCATTGCCCGGGTTCAATATCGTATTAGTAGGTCATGGTTGATTTAAGGAGTTAAGTCCCAAGTCGTATCCTCATAGGTGTGGGTCGATTTACAAAAAGCATTAATGGAGTCCGACTATAGCAGCTCAAGTCGTCGTGAGTATAGAAAGAGATGAAAGAGAGAGTTGTCGGTAGACATTGTTGGTTTGAATGCTTTTAATTATGTTTGTTGTTCGGGCTTTTTAAAATGAAAGTGTAATGAGATCACTAAAACTAGTTTTTCATTGACAAAGTAACCAAATGGCCCAAAATGTGAACGAAAATGGAATAGCGCCCGTAGCACCGCTATAGCGGTTATTGAAATAGCGGTAAATAGCGCAAAATAGCGCCGCTAATAGCGGTACCGCGAAATGAAAACGCTAAACTGAAAATAGCGGTTCTTGACATCCGCAAAACGCTATAGCGCCGCTATAGCGCACAATGATAGCTTAGGTTATGACACAGCACACCGGCGTGTGGCTGCCGTGGTGCAAAACTCGTGGCTTGGTTTGGCAATGGCAACGTCGATGAACGCATAAATGTGAGAAATTGATATTTTCAAAGATGTATATCCGTTGAATGGTTACTAGGATTAAAAAAATAAATAATTCGAACCTTTTAAAAAATTTACTGGCCTATAATACCAAATACCATCACCATTTTCTTTTAACACTTTGAACGCCACATATGTTTTTTTTCTTCAAATTATGATTTCGTTGACGGTGATTTTAATATTGTTGAAAACGTTGCTAGTCAAGACTCCACATATATTAGATGTATTAGAACCATTAGGCTGCGTTTGACGCGCTAGTTGAAAATGGTAGCTGAAAAAGCTAGTTGATGGTTAAAAAGCTAGCTGCTAGCTGATAAGCTAGCCGATAAAAAAAATGTTTGGTAAAAACTAGGTTTTTTTTTTAACGTCAAATACAAATATATACTAAACTACTCATAAATTAGCTGAAAGGTATAAAATTACATAAAAAGACATTTTCCAAAATAAGTTTTCTATAATTAATTAAGGGTATATGTAACGTCCCAAAAATTACGAGGTAAAAATTTTATTTTTAATTCAATCAAAACACTAATTATCTTTTAGCCAAACAATTATTAT